CTTTAATGACTCTGTGATGCAGATTGAAGAGGATTCATTGAAATGATTTTAGTCGTTCATTCATTATGATGAGTGAGGCATGGACAGACAAAAATTATGTTGAAAATGACATGTTCCATAATTATGATCATACAAGTCATAATATACATAAAATCTTTCTGTTGTTTATCTAGCAAAAAATGCAGATCCATCAAGTGCTGAATGTTAAAGTCTATTTTCTAAATGCATTACATCTTATTGTGAAATATTCCATAGTTTTTTTTTTTGTACCTCCAGATATTCCAGTTAAAATTACACACTTCTCCCTGATGACACATGCACAACTTCTTTAATAATTTAGTCCGATAAAACCATTCATCTGCCCTAACTTTGTAGTGAAACATTGTAGTGTGTCTAGTTAACAACTGATGCATAGAAGCAAGACCCCACTGTACATTTCAATGTTGCACTCAGATGTATTCATAATACAGAAGAAAATATCAGTGTTTCATCGCAACTTTATTGTAGGTGTTCAGGGTCTGCTATTATGCTAAGCGTCTGTATAAGTAGGGTGGCATGTAACCTGCTATCGTGAATATGACTGATAAAAGTCAGTGTGGGTGGTGAAGGTGAGTGAGAGATGGAGTCAGAATGTGTTGATTGTTTGATTCTGATATGAATGCTGTGCTCCAGACTGGCCCTTTGACTCACTTCCTGTCCTCCCCTCTGTTGTGACACTTTAACAATGAGCTGGGATTGAGGCAGGGCTTTGAAAACCAAATGGTCATTATAATCTGAAGGGTCCAAAGCGAGACTTGTTAAAAAGTTCTAAGAGAGACCAAAAGAGACTTTGTGTTTGCTGTAATAGCCACAGTTTACTGTGAGGAGGAGCAAATTGGATTACGATCTAGTTTAAGGATAAAGTTTGTAATATCTGTAGTCTTAAACAAGATTGAAAAAATAACTAGATAAATATAACTAAAAAATTAATAATAATTAATAATTTTCAAGACAATTAAGAAAGGTTTTGAGGTTAAGGTTTTTTATTTTAAATTAGGTTTAAAAGCTGGAAGTATGAGGCTATATAGATAAATAGATGTAAGTGGTGCTTGCCTGTGAACATTTTTTTTTGTTGTGTTTTAAAACAGAGCATTGTTTTAAAGTTTTTGATAGAGATGCACCAATTGCAATTTTCTTGGCCGATTCCGAATTCCGATACCGATTTTTGCCGATTCCGATTTTCTTTGTAAGAACTATAATTGACAGCATATACAAACAAAAATCTACTTTTCTTCAACGTAAAGTTTTATTTTCATAAAAAAAAAAAAAGTAAAAAGTCAGTAATAAAATAAAAACAAATACAAAAATTGCAAACAACAGCACAAATAAAAGCAATCGAATAAAAAGAGCTATGAAACAAAGTTTTTCAGGTTAAGTAAGTTTTTATTCAGGTAAGAAATAATACAGAAATTAAAGTAATCAAATGTAAAATAACACATCCAGTGTTATTCATTGTGCCCGGATCCGATCATGAGGAAAATCGGCCGATTCCGATCCCTGGCCGATCGATCGGTGCATAGTTTTTGACATGTTTTATTATGTGTGAATCATGCTATCATATCGATTTAATTTTTCATAATGTTCATAGCACAAATGATGCTCAATGAGTAACATGGTGAACCTTAATACACAGGGTTTGGGTTTAGAACAAAATCATTTCCCAAACACTCCCCTGCCTGCCATTGTTATGCCACAGTTTTTGTGCTTAAGGGGAAATCAATGTCTTGCTTACAGTATTAAAAAAAACAACAACAGCCTAGTATTCTTAAATCTGATACTGTACCTTCAATGCAATGAAGGCTGAGTCTCTTTTGGAGGTGGAGTTTCCCTAGTCTGTGTCTGTCGGTCACCGTCTGTGGTGAATAAGCGTCCATCACTTAGCAATGTGTGTGTGATGGAGGGGGGTTGGCAGGGTGAGGCAGTTTAATTAAGGAAATGGCCGTCCTGCTGTGGAGGGGTTAATGGCCACTCTGTGTGCATGTTTGTCTTGACAGTTACTTAAATCAGCAGGTAGTGGATAACTGAGAACAGCCATTTAAGAATTCCTGTTTAAAAGCAACCTTAAAGCAAAGACACCGAGTTAAAGCTCAAGCTGTAAGAGGCATAAAGGTTTTTCATATCTTTGTGCTTGTATTAGCGGTGCTTGCAGTCTGTATTGAAAGAGATGCAATTAAAATACTTTTATTAGCTGGTTCTTTTTAGTGAATCAAAAACATGCAGCACGACCAGTATAGTCTTATTCCTGAATGAAGGACTCTTCTAAGCCAGATCTTTTAATGAATAGTTCAAAAAGATGAGTTACTGGTTTGAATCTGACAAATCTGAACTCTGCTGTTACTGAATGAGTTTCAGTATGGACACAACACAACTGAAAATGATACTTACTTAAAAAGTTAAAGGTAGCTATTTTATGTATTATAGGTATTTTGCAATATCAATACCAGTTTTTGACTGTGCTATTGACATGAATGATACCTCACTTACGATTTTTTTTTCACTTTTGTTTTTCACAGAACTCAAAAAGATTGAATTAGTTAATTTTATCTTATCAACAGAACATTTCCAAGAGTATGTGACGCCTGAAGGCAAAGAACTGGTAAAGCTGTGATTTGATTGGTGTCTGTTTTATGTGGGCGGGGCTTTGGAACAATAACAATCAAAGAAGCTCCAGGCAGCTGAAGGAATGTGTGTAGTCTTATTCCTGAATGAAGGACTCTTCTAAGCCAGATCTTTTAATGAATAGTTCAAAAAGATGAGTTACTGGTTTGAATCTGACAAATCTGAACTCTGCTGTTACTGAATGAGTTTCAGTATGGACACAACACAACTGAAAATGATACTTACTTAAAAAGTTAAAGGTAGCTATTTTATGTATTATAGGTATTTTGCAATATCAATACCAGTTTTTGACTGTGCTATTGACATGAATGATACCTCACTTACGATTTTTTTTTCACTTTTGTTTTTCACAGAACTCAAAAAGATTGAATTAGTTAATTTTATCTTATCAACAGAACATTTCCAAGAGTATGTGACGCCTGAAGGCAGAGAACTGGTAAAGCTGTGATTGATTGGTGTCTGTTTTATGTGGGCGGGGCTTTGGAACAATAACAATCAAAGAAGCTCCAGGCAGCTGAAGGAATGTTCTCTCTCACACACACACACACACAAACACACACACACACACACACACACACACACATTATATTTACATCTAGATACACACCCAGACCTCAGGGCTGAATTTTCAAGGCCTTGACACACAACACAGCCTTGGGGAAAGCAGACCAGGCAGAATTGAGAAGCTCTCTGTCTCTCCCACACACATACTCTCTCTGAAGATAGTGTTACACAGAACGACTGAGAATGAAACAGCAGACTAAAGAGCCAGCTGTCTCGTAGCTTAACCTGCCTCTGTGTCAGCGAGACCGTTCAAGACTTGTAAATGTGAAACTGTCAAATAAATGACCAGTGAGGTCACTTTAAGGAGCTTATATCTGAAACTTAGTCGACTATGATGTCACTGGTTTGAGATACAAAGGGTTCCAAGAATTTGGGAAAAAAATAAAAAGGTGCTGGTAATTTTCTGCCAGGACATTATTATGGGCATTTCCTTTAACCCTAAAACACAATTCAATATGAAATTCCAAATACGAGTTAAATGTGATAGATCAACACGGTAAGTTCATTTGTATGTCAAATGGGCCATTTTTCCACAGACTTTAATTAGAGTGAAGTTATAAATTACAGAGGTGTCAAAAGGATAAATATAGAAAAATTTAGTAAATATGCCAAGACAAATCACACACTGTCCTTCATGTTGTCTCTTTCACAGCACACACATCTGTGGTCTAAATGAACGGCACCGGTATACTGAAAGAAGCACTGTTTGCTTATCTTCAAGTGTTCACAGGTCTGAGGTGTGTTTGTGTAGAGTAACGGTTGAGTCTGCTGCAGTTCACCCACCCGCCCAGTCTCTACAGCGCACATGCCTGTGTTTTGAACAAAGAAATGTGAGTTTGTGTTGATATAATTCATGTCACATGTATCTTCTGCTTCAGAACCGCTGGAGTTTTGCTGGATTTGTCTCTGCTGTTTGTGCATTTCTCATGCTGGATTGTGAAAAAGTAGCTTGTCTCTGACTGAAGTGTTTTTTTGGATGCTAAGTAACGGCATTGGGTGTTTGTACTCGCTGTCATTCCTAATAAGGCCAAATCCGCAGTGTTTGGCACTGGTGTCTGTACACTAGATAGATTGAGGCAAAAGTACCTCCTCTTTGTTTCATGGGAAGAACAGATCCATCGTCTTACCATTGGTAACCAAATATGGGAGTAGAGTGTCTCTCTTTTTCTGGATGTCTGCTCGTACTTGTCTGACTTGCACAAAGTAGAACGCTCTGTGTGTGTGTGTCTCTTTGCTGACTATAGTAATAATAAATAGGCTTTTACTTGCTCTGTAATTTTTGACAGTATGTTGTTGCAAAACGTTAACCCCAGGTTACTGCAGTCAGTGGGACTGTCCCTGTAGTACAGTCACTTTAAATGAAGAAGAGTAATCTGTGTGTGCAGTTCTGTGCAGACTGTTGGAATGTTTTAATGTGACCATGTATTTGTGCTAGGAGAAACAGGAAGTGACCTTGTAACACACTGCCTACACATTGAGAAGTCATAAACGCATACATGTGCACGCCCTTTCCTCTTAAGTGTCGCAATCTATTTCACTGCTATTTGTTTAGCCAAAAATGCTTCATATTTAATTAAATATGAAGAAAATATGATGATGGTGATTTATTATTATAAATATTTAATTGTTACACATACATATATAAAATTAATTTTCATTTATAACATAACATAATTGGCAACAATAACAAGAGAGAAGACCAGTCAGAAGTAGAATGAAAATACTGTGGGAATTCGTTTTTAAGGTTTTGAGTCGACCCCTGTTATTGTTGTTTTCAGATGGACGTGAGGCTGCTCCTGATTTCAGTTCTTCTCGGACTCTGTAGGGCACAACTAGGTAAGAACTTCAGATTTTGGAAGCATCAGATATACAGTGGGGTTCAAAAGTCTGAGGCCACTAGTGAAAATGCTTCTGTTGTGCGTTTTATCATCCATCCATTTTCTTTTGTGAATATGTTTTATATTGCACCGTTTTAACATATTTAATTTGTCTGTAAAAAATCAATAACAAGAGAGAAGACCAGTCAGAAGTAGAATGAAAATACTGTGGGAATTCGTTTTTAAGGTTTTGAGTCGACCCCTGTTATTGTTGTTTTCAGATGGACGTGAGGCTGCTCCTGATTTCAGTTCTTCTCGGACTCAGTAGGGCACAACTAGGTAAGAACTTCAGATTTTGGAAGCATCAGATATACAGTGGGGTTCAAAAGTCTGAGGCCACTAGTGAAAATGCTTCTGTTGTGCGTTTTATCATCCATCCATTTTCTTTTGTGAATGTTTTATATTGCACCGTTTTAACATTTAATTTGTCTGTAAAAAATTTTTTTTTTTAAATTGTAATGGTGATTTGCTGTCTAAAAAGTGTGGGTGGGAACCCTGCAGGTTTGTGTGGGTTAAAGGTAGGGTAGGTGATTTTGGAGAGGCTAGCAATAGCAAGCTAGTTTTGAAAGCATAAGATTCCACCCTCCTTGCAAATCACTCTCCAGTCCAAAGCCTCGCCGCCTCCTAAACACATGAATGTGCACAGGCAGTGACACGCCGAGAGCAACGCTGTCAGAGTGCCTCATGTTTCATTCACCGGTGAGAAAATACTATAGTAAAAAGCACATAATATTACAATCAGCATAAAAAATATTTTTTAATCAAATCACCTACACTGCCTTTAAAGGGTTAGTTCACTCAAAAATTTAAATTAGCCCATAAATTACTCACCCTCAAGGCATCCTAGGTGTATATGACTTTCTTCTTTCAGACGAATCCAGTCGGACTTATATTAAAGGAGGGGTACAATGCTGTTTCATGCATTCAGAGTTGTTTACACTGTTAAAGAGTTGGATTCTCATGCCAAGCATGGACAAAGTTTCAAAAAACAATTTGGATGTATGACGGAGTATTTCTGTGCCAAAAATCGTACTTCCGCGTTCCGTGTTTTCTTCAGCCATTCAGAGGTGGACTTGCTGGTGTGTTTTGGATTATTGTCCTGCTGCAGAACCCAAGTTCGCTTCAGCCTGAGGTCACGAACAGATGGCTGGACATTCTCCTTCAGGATTTTTTGGTAAACAGCAGAATTCATGGTTCCATTTATCACAGGAAGTCTTCCCGGTCCTGAAGCAGCAAAACAGCCCCAGACCATCACACTACCACCACCATATTTTACTGTTGGTATGATGTTCTTTTTCTGAAATGCAGTGTTACTTTTAAGCCAGACGTAATGAAAATTGAACTCGGGTGTTTTAACAGGGGGGCAAACACAGGGCCATGTAGTTTTTTTTTTATTTTGTTTTCCCTTAATAATAAAAAACCTTCATTTAAAAACTGCATGTTGTTTACTTGTGTTATCTTTGACTAATATTTAAATTAGTTTGATGATCTGAAACGTTAAAGTGTGACAAACATATAAAAAAATAAGAAATCAGGAAGGGGGCAACACTTTTTCACACCACTCTGTGTGTGTGTGTGTGTGTGTGTGTATGTATATGTGTGTTTGTAAATGGCACAGTTTTTTAAATATCTAAAAGTACACTCTTAACATCAGTCAGTCAAGCATTATAATATGATAATCAAGTATTATTTAATGATAGAACTTTAGTAGTTAGAATTAAAACTTGATAACCATGTTTTGAATGCATCTTAGTCATTTTAACTGAACATTTTAACTGGACTGGTGGTGCTTTTTTGGTCATTCAGTGTGTCTTTAAATAAAAAAAGGGGGGGGGAACTAACAAAAATACTGATAAGATAATAATGATACACAAATTCTACTAATAAGAACAATATAAAACAAGGATTAATGAGCTGCTGGATTCATGAATATTAATCAGGTTGTTTGGGTTCGCTCAAACTGATTTGCTGAAATCAAAACGGGGAAGATAATAGGTGAACGCCAGCCAATTGCCGTTTGCACACTAGTCCCGCCCACTACGTGAGAAAGCGGCTGTTCTTAAAAGCTGAAGAATTCCAAATTGATAACCATGTTTTGAATGCATCTTAGTCATTTTAACTGAACATTTTAACTGGACTGGTGGTGCTTTTTTGGTCATTCAGTGTTTCTTTAAATAAAAAAAAGGGGGGGGGGAACTAACAAAAATACTGATAAGATAATAATGATACACAAATTCTACTAATAAGAACAATATAAAACAAGGATTAATGAGCTGCTGGATTCATGAATATTAATCAGGTTGTTTGGGTTCGCTCAAACTGATTTGCTGAAATCAAAACGGGGAAGATAATAGGTGAACGCCAGCCAATTGCCGTTTGCACACTAGTCCCGCCCACTACGTGAGAAAGCGGCTGTTCTTAAAAGCTGAAGAATTCCAAATTCAATTCTCTCTCTCTCTCTCTCTCTCTCTCTCTCTCTCTCTCTCTGAGTGTGTGTGAGACAAAGCGACGGCGAGTCGTGCGCCTTCACACTAGAGTTTAAGGCACGTCAAATACAGGTGCGTTGCACATCCACTGAGATAAACTGAAAAACAGCACAGATCGCTTGGTGGAGAGTGAAACTTCGAAGCGCTCAGTCAGAGTGTTCGGCGAGTGAAAATATATCTGTGCTAAACTTATACTTAGCCTCCAACTCACACACTGGCGAGTAAAATCTTAGAATTTATTAGCCATCGGCTAATGTTAGACATCATTTAATCGCCCAGAGTGAAGATTTAGTCACATATGCGAGTGATTTACTCGCAATGTAGAGGGTTGGCCCATCCATAATAAAAAGTGTCTCACACGGCTCCGGGGGGGTGAACAAAGTCCTCCTGTAGCGAATCGATGCGTTTTTGCTTTCAGTCCTACACGGAAGCAGCTCCAGGAGGATGACGTAAGATGTCGGAGTTGTGCATGCCCCAGTGAGTCTCGTGAAAAACAAAGTTTGTTAACAGGAGTAAAGGAAGCAAAGTTTTAAAGGCTTATATCGAAATCCTCCGACATTCTTCTTTACACATCCTCGTTTTGTACTTCTTTTTGTACTTTTAATTCGTGAGCGTTTTGTTTTGATCTCTCCCCTGCGCTTCCGCGTTCGTCACTTCTGAGCAGCGCCAACCTCATACGTCATCCGCCCGGAACTGCTTCCGTTTACAACAGTGAGAGCAAGCTACATTCAATTGATTATTACGTTTTAAATATGGTTATTTTTCTTACAAAAACGCATCGATTAGCTACAGGAGGACTTTAACCCCCCAGAGCCGTGTGAGACACTTTTTATTAAGAATGGATGTGCTTTTTCACTTTTTTTGGACTGATGCACTGCAACACTTGACGTTTGAGTGATTCCCCCCCACTCAGTAGTTTCACTCAGTAGTTCCACTCAGAATACACACCAGACCAGAGCTTTAAACAAATCTCTGCAATACTGTCCAGATCATCTGTTAGACATTTGCAGCGCTTTTCATTCCAGGAATATCTCCGATATGGCTGCAGTGTGGAATCTAAGAAAAGAACCAAAAGAAAAAGCTCACAGCTTTAATGCAGAATAATAGGAATGCGATATACACATCATCATCTTCTAGCGATGTCCCACAGTCCTGTGTGGTTTATTCTGGATGTGTTGGCCTCATGGTTTGCATTAAGTCTTTAGAGAAGGCAGTAAGGATGCCATCATTAATACAGTTCACATGACCTCCCTACAGCATATGGCCACTCTGCGTCTATTTTAGAATGGCAGTCTCATGAGAGAGAATCATATTGCATATGGCTTCCCATGGTGTTACTTATTAAATGCTCTTTGATTTGGATTTCCTGTTAGTGGTGGGAGGGAATTGAGAATGATGGATGTTTTTGTTGTGTGTGTGCAGATGGTAACGAATGCACCAAGGCCTCGGCCCAGTCCTGTGGAGAATGCATTCAGGCTGGAGAAAAGTGTGGCTGGTGTACAGACGAGGTGAGTTCAGACAAAACCATTAAAGTCGGAAATAGCTGCTTTTGCAACTATGTGCATTTAGGGGAAAATGGTATGGAGGAAACCATTTCCTGTTGTCAGATTATTTGTTTATCCAAGTCTTTTAGAGGACATCCTGTGATTCTGCAAACAATTGTCTCCAAAAAACTTGTTTTTGGGAGAGCGAAATATCCAGTGTTTTGAAATGTCACGAGTGACACCACCTCCTCTCCCACCTTTATTCGCCCGTAGTTGATTATTACAAACGGCTTCATGAGTCATGTTAGTGGAACTTGAGTACATCATCCCCCTCAGTGTTCATGAGTCACTGTCCTGTGTGATCATGTCTGTTTCTGCCATGTGGAGCATGTTATGGCAGGACAGGAAGCACCAATCTTAGACCACATTACAGAAAGCAGGAAGTGGACTATCACTAAACTGCATGTAATGCAGGGCAGGGGGATTGAGCTCTGTTGGGAATGTGCCCCTTCTTAATTATTTCAACAGGCACACTGCACATCCTCATCCCGACTAGCCCAACACAGCAACATTGGCTTAAACAATGGTTTGAGTTTGGGGTGGGACTATTCGTCTGTCTGAGGTCTGACAAACCATGGTGCTTTCACGCCACACATCATGTTCTCACGCAGTGAAAAATACATCAATGAGCAAAGAGGACACTGACAGACAAGACAAGCTCTAAAATGATAGCAGATAGCACAAGCAGGTTACGTTTTGTATGAAACGGCCTCAGCTTTCTAATTGGGTCATTTTTAAAATAAATTCAAACAATAAATAACATTATGTGGGTATTTAATGTGTCGTGACAAATGCTTTAGCACCTCAGTTCAAGAGGCATGTGAACCGATCATCTCTTCCTTTTTACTAGTTGAAGCACGAAATAAACATGAATGAACATCAGAAGGTATCTTGTTTCACCAACTTTAATCTACTCTCCTGTCTGGTTTGTTTGTTGGACAAAATGGCAGATTCGTGTTTTGATTGGTCAGATCGCTGGTCAAATGAAACTCCCAGTGAAGGGTCAATGGAATATCCCTGCTATAGATATACCATAGCTATATTGTTATTTAATACATTAACATAAGTAGATATATTGTCCCAAAAGAACACAATTCTCTATATATGTCCCTTAAAACGGCTTCATCTTTTGTAAGATTAAATACTACTGATGCTGTGCTCCAACTGGTACTATTTTTGTTGGAGTGATCATAATCTTCATAAACTCTTTCTGCAGGACTTTCTGAAACAGGGAGAGCAGAAGTCCACACGCTGTGATGAGGTTGAAGCTCTGATTAAGAAGGGCTGTTCTGAAGCCAGCATAGAAAATCCTCGGGGAACTGTTAGCATCAACAAGAACCAATCTTTAACAGACCGCACAAAGGATGGAGTAAAACTGAAGCCAGACCAGATCACCCAGATTCAACCACAGAAACTCACCCTAGACCTCAGATCAGGTACTGCTTACTCCCTTCTCAACTCCAGGAATGCTTATTAAAAGATTTAGGTCATCACCTAATAAAGTTGAATGCCATGTGAAGTAATGCTCTCCTTCTAGGAATAATCAGTTCACTCCCCTGTAAAGCTTTAGTCTAAACCCATGATCTCTCATTTCAATCCAGGTGAAGCTCAGACGTTTCATCTGACATTCAAGAGGGCTGAGGATTATCCTATAGATCTCTACTACCTGATGGACCTCAGCTACTCAATGAAAGATGATTTAGAGAACGTTAAAAACCTGGGAACCGACCTTATGCTTGAAATGCAAAAGATCACCTCTGACTTCAGGATTGGTAAGGAACGTCAGAGGATCCATGCTGGATTTGTCTATATTTGTATTGCACTGATAAGTTCATAACGCCTTTTCTTTCATTCTTTGTCAATGTTTCCAGGCTTTGGCTCCTTTGTGGAGAAAACTGTCATGCCGTACATCAGCACAACACCAGCCAAACTGCTAAACCCCTGCACATCAGACCAGAACTGCACCAGCCCGTTCAGCTATAAAAATGTGCTGAGTTTGACTGCAGATGGATTTCAGTTTAATAACCTTGTTAGCAAGCAGCAGATCTCAGGAAACCTGGACTCACCAGAGGGAGGGTTCGATGCCATCATGCAAGTGGCTGTCTGTGCGGTTCGTAATTTTTTTTATATAACATTTTTTATGTTTCAATTTGTGTTTTTTGTTGTTGTATTGATTTGTAACCAATTGTCCACTGTCTACTAGGTAGATGTGGCCATGTAACCAAACTGAAGTCAAAGTAAAGTGACTTGTCCCTAACCCTGCTGACTTGTCAGGTTTTTGAAACTTAAGTTTATGCTTCCTTTTGTATATCAGAATCAGATCGGCTGGAGGAATGTTACCCGTCTGCTTGTGTTTTCCACGGATGCTGGATTCCACTTCGCTGGAGACGGAAAACTGGGCGGCATCGTGCTTCCTAATGATGGGAAATGCCATCTGCAGGATAACATGTACACCATGAGCCATTACTATGTACGTGTGTATAACACTGCGAGTCATTACTGCATAGAGAATGTATGTAAAGGTGTTTATTTCCATCCCTTCTAGGACTATCCTTCGATTGCACATCTTGTTCAAAAATTAAGTGAAAACAACATTCAGACCATTTTTGCAGTAACTGAAGAGTTCCAGCCAGTTTACCAGGTAATAAAGCAGCTATCTTTTGTCTCCTCATCTATAGGCAAGTCAGATTCTATAACACTACTGGAAATAAAATACTGCATGGGTGAAAAAGAACCCTGGACAAACTGTTTTTATCTTTGACTACAGGAGCTGAAAAACCTCATTCCAAAGTCAGCTGTGGGAACGCTATCCTCCGACTCGGGCAATGTGATAAAACTCATTATTGATGCATATAATGTGAGTAGATCTCAGTAACTAAAGAGGCTAAAAGTCCCTTTTTTTTGCTTTATTTGGTTCATCTTAGGCCAGACAGAAAATAAAAATGACGTAAATATAGTATAAATAATATAGACACATATTCACATATATATATATATATGTATGTGTATATGTATGTATGTATATATATATGTATGTATATATATATATATACAACCATACATTAATTCAAATTAATAAAAAAGAAAACACCAGGCAAGCACAATTATACACTAAATAAGGGGGGGGGGGGGGATAAAAATAATAAATAAATAAAATGAAGATGTAGTTGACTGCTTAAAATATTCCAGAAAAGGACTCCAGACTTTCAGAAAAAGTTTTGGCTTTTGTTTTATTGCGAACCGAATCTTTTCCATTTTGAGGGCATGTAAGAAATCAAAAAGAATAAGGAGGGGGAGCTGCTGACTTCCAGTTCATAAGAATAAGTCGCCTACCCAGTAGAGTTGCAAAGGCCTGTAATGTGTTTAATTTAACAGATTCTGGCAAAATACCAAACAGTGCTGTTAAGGGATTGGGTTCTATTGGTAAAGAGAAAATAACAAGACTTTCCTCCAAAAATCAGACTGTTTTGAACAAGACCAGAAAGAATGCAATAACGTAGCTGGTTCAGTTGTGCAACGAAGGCAGGTTGTGTCAAGATCAGGGAATATTTTGTTTAATTTCGTTCTAGAGCAATGGAGCATTTCTAGATGAAGAATTAGATCCCAGAAATTTCCCTTAAGTGACATTAAATTCCTCCTCCCAGAGCGCCTTGAGCGGACGCATTGAGGGGGACTGTTTTGAATTAATTATAGTAAAGATTTTAGAAATAACCCCTTTCAAAGATGTATGAAGGTCTAATATATCATCAAGGATATTTTTATTTGACAAAAAGGGAAAGTTAGAAAACTGCTTACAAATAAAGTTCAGTATCTGAAAGTATCCAAATAAACGGGAGCTGGGTAGGTTATATTTTTCTTGAAGTTGTGTAAAGGTTGCAAAACGGGTCTGAATACTTAGGACCATGTGATATTTCAGATTTTCTTTTTTAATAAATCTGCATAAATGTCAACAATTCTGTGTTTTTCTGTCAATATGGGGTGCTGTGTGTACATTAATGAGGAAAAAAAATTAACTTAAATGATTTTAGCAAATGGCTGCAATATAACAAAGAGTGAAAAATTTAAGGGGGTCTGAATACTTTCCGTACCCACTGTATGTATAGTTGACCCCATCCATCAAAGAGGGTGGAAATGATATATTGCAAAAAACAGGCGCTATAGTGCAATGGTCTTTAAGGTCTAACGCTACACGGAACTGAGGCCAAATCCTTAATGAATGTATAACAACTGGGTTATTTTTAATTAAAGTAGTATGCTTAAATGGAACTGGTACACATAGTGAAGAGGTTAAAGTTGCTGGAGTACAAGAGCTTCCATCAGTACCCACTGAGACTTCTTTAATTGCAAATCCTGCTGCACCCAATATAACAGATTCCTAAGAATATTCATTTTGATAACATTCACCCAGTGCTTAAATTGAGCGGGATCCTGTTCCGCAAAATGTCAGATTTTGGATTTTTCGTTCCGTTAATTGTTTTTAAGGATCCGATAGTGACGTGTGTGCATATGAGAGCGAGCGCATATTTGGAGGTTATGCATTGGTCCTCAACATATTTTTGACCGTGACCAGTCAGCTTTCTTCAAACTCGCTCTCATTGATGTTTTGTGAGCAGCAGAACGTTTGGAGAGAGTGTAATAATACCAGAAATAATACCAAATAAAGTGAACTATTATAATGTATAAACATTATAAAAACTATAAACATAGCTATACGTTAGTATAGCTCACTCCAAAACAAATCATATAACGGTATTCAGAACAAAACAAGAATGAAATAAAAATATATAAACCAAAACAAAGCTAGAAACTTGTGAACCATGCTCTCTATGTAATTGTGGCATCACCGTTTAGGGATGTCATTGAATGTTCCGGGAAAACTTAAGTTGTATTTTCAGTGTCGGTCACAGCGCCTTTTAATTGCTGTTTTGGATCCGGCAATTATTGATTTAAAAATTAAGCACTGCATTCACCCTTCCTATCAAAGATAGAGGGAGGCATTTCCAGGACACGAAAAGAGACTTAACATAATTATGGAGAGGAGAGGCTAAATGTCAATTTAGTGAAATTCTTTGAATTGGATTTTAATATTTTTTTGTTTCTTCCTTTGTTCTTGACAAGTTCCTGCTGAATAAAATATGTGGAAATATGACAATGCAGTTTGGGGTAAAAACAGTAATAATTGTTCAAGATAATTTAAAATATTGAATTCCAATTTTAAAAAGTTAAAATTTTAACTATTTAAAATAACTGTTTTCTATTTATTATATTTTAAAATGTGATTTATTGCTGTGATTATTATCAATAAACAGTTGAAAACAGTTGTGCTGCTTAATATTTTTGTGGAAATCATGATATATTTTTTCAGGAATCTTTGATGAATGGAAAATTCAAAAGAACAGTATTCATTTGACATTATAAACATTATAAATGTCTTTATTGTCACTTTTAATCAATTTAAAGCATCCATGCTGAACAAAAGTATACATTTTTTTCAAAAAAAATCTTGCTGACCCTAAATCTTTCATCAGTTTTTAAAAGACTCTTAAATAATCCTTTCCTAAATCTCTTTCTCAGTCTCTGTCCTCTGAGATCATTCTGGAGAACAGTAGACTCCCCGAAGGGGTTTCCATCTCCTACATCTCCCACTGCAAGAATGGAGTGAGCGAAAAAGGAGAAAATGGACGAAAGTGCTCCAACATCTCCATTGGGGATCAGGTGAGAATAATACTTAAATGAAGGTAGATGTTTTAAATAATTTTTTAAAAGTTGCATATGTGTTTTATGTTTTTGTTTTTTCATATTTGATACACAGGGCTTTTATGGCCCAAATAATATTATATAGTGAGAATATGGAGATCACATTCATGGGTTAAATTATTATTATTATTTTTTTTAATTTAATTCAGAGGTCCAAACTGAGCAAAAATATGCAGTTTGGTGCAGATGTTATTTATATGGCCCAAAATCAAAATGAAGTTCTGATAGATTGTATTGTAAAACAATGAGATCTAACAGACTGTTTACATAAAATGCATATAAATTTCAACTGTCGCTCTATATTTCCCAATAATATGTCTTAGTATAGTATTTAAATGCTTAGTTTTATGATCAATGTTCTGTAGTTTTAATTGTGGTGGACAAAATACATTGATGATTGAGAGATGCACTAATAAGTGTTCCTCAATATCCTGGTGTATCATATTTGATACATTTCAACATGATTTTTTTTTTTTTCATAAAAAAATAATGTATGGATAATCAAGCCTAAGTTGTTTCAGTCCAGTAAATGTTCATCTTAAAATATTATTGATAATATAAAAGTGATTCTTATGTTTGCATAATAAAAATAAGATTTCACAGCTAAATACAAGTGTGCAATGACTTGAAGATGGACTTTTTAGAATTATATTAAAAGGCCTTTTACTTGCTAAACAAAAGTATTAATTTCAAAGTATGAATTGATTAAAGGCTTTATAAATGCATTGTCATGCCATTTGCACTGAGCTGCTCAAAACCGCACACTCTGCTTTTTGTTGTCTTTATTTCAGTTCTGTTTTTCTCACTCTGGCCAATTTCTTTCTTTCTGCCTTTCTCTCTTCAAACCTTTTCTTCTTGTCATGTCTAGCAAGAGAACCCAATATACAAGAGCCCCATTAATAAATTCCAGAATCCAAGTTATGGAAATAAGGGCGTCACACACTGAGTCTGTACTCTTCTTTGCTGCTTGCATATGCTTTTTTTTCTTTCCTCTTTCTGTCCATTTATCTCTATCACTTTAACAACAACCTCAGACCCTTGTATATATGAACAGCTTCTATATTGTCATTTGCAGTTATTTACTCTAATTCACTAATTATTAGGGCATGACTTTTAGGTAATTTACCTAAAACTGTATGACTTATGATCTGTGAAACACAAAACCTTGAACTCCATTTTTGTATTAACTTTTGATCCTTATAGGAATAGTTTACCTAAAAATGAAAATGTACTCCTCCTCAGGCCATCCAAGATGTAGATGAGTTTGTTTCTTCATTAGAACAGATTTGGAGAAATTTGCAGTGAATGGGTGCCGTCAGAATAAGAGTTCAAACAACTGAGAAAAACATCACAATAATCCACACCACTCCAGTCCATCACATAACATCTTGTGAAGTGAAAAGCTGCGTGTTTGTAAGAAACCAATCCAACATTAAGAATTGAAGTTCAGCGGTGTAAAAGTTGTCATTTAAATCAGGAGAGAAATATGCACAGACAAAGCCGTGTTTACAAGCAAAAACAGTCCAACACAATTCTAAACAAATATGTTGGTTGATTTTGATGTGAGGGGACATTAGGGGATGGACTTTTTCTGGAGGAGTTTAAGGATTCATATTTTGGTTAAAAGCAATGGTTTAAAGTTAAAATGCCTTAATGTTGATGGACTGGAGTGGTGTGGATTATTATGGGTGTTTTTATAAGCTGTTTGAACTCTCATTCTGACGGCACCCATTCATTGCAAATTTCTCCAAATCTGTTCTGATGAAGCAAGTGATGTAATACTAAATATCTCTGTTCTAATGGAGACAAACTCCTCTACATCTTAGATGGCCTGAGGATGAGTACATTTTCATTTCTGGATGAACTATTCTTTTAAAGAGTGCAATTAATATTACAAAAATATTGCCTTTTGTAATGCTTGCTGGTTTTTGTATACTAAAAATGTTTTTTTTTTTTTTAACAACCAAAGTTTACTGCATTTGCTGTGAAGTGTCTTAACCTGGCAATTGTGTAGTTTATATTAAAGGTTGATCTAATTATCCTCTCTTCATGTTGATCTCCAGGGTGAGAACCCCATTTACAAGAGTGCGGTGACAACGGTGGTCAACCCTAAATATGAGGGCAAGTAATGGACGAATGTGTCCAGCAACACTGAATGCAGAACAATTCAAGAGGAATGGAAGAGTTGAAGTTCACTTCATTTTCTTTTTTTGTGTTTTTTTTTTTTTTAAATCACCTTTTGGCTGTGCATTTGCCACTGTTCTGTTTAATCTATTAACCTGTGTTTCTATGCATTGTTTTGGAACTGTACAGTATGTATAAACTTGAGTTTTTATTTTTTTTATGCAATCTTAGACAATAATTTCAATGTTCAGTTTTGATTTTTAGCCACAGATCTGCCTTGTTTTTCCTGAATGTTAAAACTGATCTTGTTGGGTTAGATGACGGGTTTTGTAGGTAAAATGTGGTCAAGTATGCATTAAGAATGTTATCCAAAAAAGACAAGGCTCAATTACCAGACCCACCTGCTTGAGTCCAGTAACTGGTTGATCATTAGAGTCAGTTTGTATCTTATGATGGTACAGGAAACTTTCTGAACCTGTGGATGGAGTGTCCTGTCACTGGTATAGTAGGTAGCTGTAGCGGACCACTGCTGTTTGTACACATGGTGCTTTTCATGTAGATGCTTATGTCGTCTGCAGAATTTTGGATGATTTGAGACCATATTATAATGTTTAGGTCTGTGGATCTGTGTGCTCGCCTCGCCTTTCTTTGGTCTGCGAGTCAGGTGGTTTAGTGACCTTCTATTGTGCACATTGATGATTTTAATCTATCAATCTAAAATGGACAGATTTAGTATCTTTTTAATTGCGTCACAGAAAAAATGTACAACATCTATCAAGTGTTTGATTTAAATGCCTTTGACTTGGCAACATCGGAGTTGTTTGAAAGATGTTAGAGGGACATTTTCATCATTGTCTGTGAATGGAACAATTATTATTATTATAATTGAAAACATAAGTGTGAAGTCATATGAAAAGATCTTCAGGTTTTAGATTTGTTTGAAGAATGAGGAAATGAAAACTCAGGTCCTGAATTTCTCTCCATCACTGATGCCAAATATTTACGTCTACTGTGCATGAACTATTTTCCAGATGTGGACTTCACATTTGTTTTTCTCTTTTAATTGGTCCCGTTGTAACATCTTTGTTCATAAATGAGACTAACTGCTCAGATTATTGTTGGTAAAGATCAGTGTTAAAGAAAGATTACTTCTTCTTTTTTTTTCTTTTTTTTTAATCTCTAAAGCTTTTAAAAGCTTAATCCTGTTACATACACACTTTGCATTTTAAAGTGCCTTTTTCATTTTTGCATCATGCCCGCTATCTTTTGTTTCTAGGAGTTATTTATTCAAATAAACAACCCAAAACACTGGACTGCATTGTTATCTGTCTGTTTATGAGTCGGCATGCTTTATAATTGAATGTAAGGTCTTTATATCATAATATGGAGATTTAAAATATCTTCAGTTGTGTTATGAGGATGAACAAAAGTCTTAGGGGATTGGAACAATTTGAGGGTGAGTAATTAATGACAGAACTTTCATTTTTGGGTGAACTATCCCTTTTAAGAATGTTTTTAATATTTTTACTGGAAAACAAGACACAAATACTAAGAATTTATTTCATATTTCTTAGTGAATTAGGACACATTTATTATGGAGGCATTCTTTTCCCCACAGGTCATGGTCAATGCTATGCAGGCGGAGTGTGTGACTGCCCTGTACTGTAAACGTACTGCCCTTTTTTTCCTGTCAAAAGATGTGATCAGGAGATCTGTGGTGTATGTGGACTCACATTAGACATTTAAACTGAGAACTTGTCATAGGATGTTGTAAGTCAACAAGCAGATGTTGATTGCTGTGCTTGCATGTTATTTTAGCCTAGCCTTTTAGGATTTTGATCATATATTTGTGTCATATTATTGTAAAACTGTGTGTATACTACACCGAACAAATTGTCATTATTAAAACAACATATTAGAAAACATAAATAAATCAAATAATTCTAGGGCTCCATGTGTTTCCACGCTGGTAATAGGTTACATGAGAGCTTGCTCATGAGAATGTGTTATACATACACAATATTAAGTCTTTATAGAAATGTTATAGATTATCTTAAGAGAAGCAAATCAAATTGTATTTTAATTTTAAATGGTCTGCAAAACTTGACAACTCTGTTTTCAGTGTTATTGGGATATATAAAGGTTATAACATTTAATGATCTATAAGTGATTACTTCGTAACTAATTATAATATAAAATATAAAATTATATTACCAGTGCACCACAATTCTACAAATAAACTGGTTTTGAGCTTTTATTTATCATTCATTTGTAATTGTATTTATCAAGATATCTTATCCTGCCGGTTTCTCTAGTGAACAACATTAGCATTGCATCCATCACCTTTCAGTTGAAATGGCTGATAGTTTGTAAGCATCACACATTCATGAAACTAAGCATATTTTCACTTCATTCCTTTTTAAAGCCTTCTTTGCTAGATTATCCTCAGCTTCATTTCCAGAAATCCCTTTATGGTGCCCAACAGAGTCCGACTGCCACTCTTGTCTTTTGAATACGATACAAGAGCACAAATATTTCATTCATTAAATCTTCTATGGGTGATTTCTGGGCAAATATTATTATAAATACTGATGCTGAAGTCTTATTTCCTCCTCTGTTAAACCCATTATAATGGCAATTGTTTCTTTAGAATATATTGATAAATTAGATGTTAATCTTTTTGACATTTCTGCACAATTTGATTGATTTTGACATTTCTGAAATATACACTCCTATACCTGTGGTTCATGCGATTAGATCTTTTGATCCATCTATATATATATATGTGTAAATACTTTATATTAAATTATATATATATATATATATATATATAATTCTAATTAGTTATTCAAATTATTTGGACTTTTTTATGACTTTTTTTTATGTCTGATGGGAGTCAAATCTTTTTCTTTTTTTTCTCTAATGTGAGTCTGTTCTGGAGGAGGGGCCTCACTCTGACATTTCTGTTGTTTCTGTTTGTGATGCTTTCCAAATGACTGCTCAGCGCCCTTCAGCTACAAAAAAAAAACGTCCTGAACTTGACAGATGATGGTGCATTGTTCTCCCAAGAAGTCAGTAAGCAGAAAACCTCTGGAAACCTGAACTCTCCCGAGGCAGGATTTGATGCAATCATGCAAGTTGTGGTCTGCACAGTGAGTCGATCTGAACATTCCATAAATGCCAGAGAGCTATGGGCAAAGTCAAAGTCGTGTTGTACTTGCCCTGCAAATGGCTGTGTCCACATCGACTTTCCTTTTATTCCAATAAAATAGTTTTTCTAATAGTAAAAGCTTCAAATTTAGAATTTCAGAAGCTGTACACAAAGTTTCAGTTAATCATCACCATCTTCATAAATTAATTCTAACTGTAGCCTGAGGGTTCTGATTTAATGATCAAACACTAACCATGTAGTCAACGTGTGACAGAGCCCTCAATATTCTCATTGAGTCCTATGGAGCAGCATGAAGCTGTGTTCTGTTAGCTGTGTTTTGATTGTATCTCAGGAAGTGATCGGCTGGAGGAATGTCACTCGCCTCCTTGTGTTCTCCACAGATGCTGGATTCCATTTTGCTGGAGATGGAAAACTAGGTGGCATCGTTCATCCAAATGAGGGGAAATGCCATCTTGAGAATAATATGTACACCATGAGCAACTACTTTGTAAGTATGAGTTTTATAGATAGAAATGTCATAGTGTGTCTTTCATTTCAGTTGTTATTTTTACAGGACTACCCCACCATCTCTCAGCTGGTAGACACACTGAGTGACAACAACATTCAGACCATCTTTGCTGTGACAGAGCAATTCCGGGATCTTTATCAGGTGTGTGCAATGTGTATATTATATCTTCTCCACATTGCAACAACATCATGTTCATCATCTCATAATATAAGCATCTGGTTTAACTCAGATTGTAGTCTGTATTGACTCATAATGCATATATATATATGTGTGTGTGTGTGTGTGTGTGTGTGTGCAATAGGAACTGTCTGCTCTAATCCCTAAATCAGCAGTGGGGACACTGTCTACCAACTCTACCAATGTCATCCAGCTCATCATTGATGCATATAATGTGAGTTCAAGTTATGCATCAAATATCTCTGTCAGTAATGGTTGGCTGTGGTCAACTCTAATTCCTTTTAGAGTTAAAAGGAAGTGAAACCAAAACCACTGTTTCTCTTTTCTTGCTTGCAAAAGATTTTACTTGACAGCCCGTTCCCACGCATGAGGGTTGTTTATAATCTTAAATATGTACTCAGTCCATTTGAATGATCAGAAAAAGGGTAAGAGGCGTATTGCTCAGTCAGATCAACAGTTCTGCGACCAGTAAAATTAGAAGTTTAAAGGCACAGTGCACCTAAAAATGAAAATTCTGTCATCATTTACTCACCCTCATGTCATTCCAAATCTTCCTCCTTCTGTGAAACAAAAAAGAAGATATTTTGAAGTACTGAATTTCCAATTATCTTCTTTTGTATCCCACACAATAAAGAAAGCCATACAGGTTTAAAACGCCATGAGGGCGAATAAATGATAACAGAATTTGAGTGAACTATCCCTTTAATTAATACTCTTTGTTTAATTGTGTCCGTCAGTCTTTGTCCTCAGGGGTCATTCTGGAGAACAGCAAACTACCTGCTGGTGTGTCCATCTCCTACATCTCCCACTGCAAGAATGGAGTGAGTGAAAAAGGAGAAAATGGTCGAAAGTGCTCCAACATCTCTATTGGGGATGAGGTGAGAGAGTGAATGCAATAAATGCCATCTGAACTTGTCTGTAGAGTGACTCCATTTTGCTAGCTGTAGCTTAAGCTTAGTGCACAAGTTATCATATTGTAGCAAAATTCCAGCTCATTGCCATTCACCAATGATATTCTAGTTTGCATACATTTAAGACACATTCCATTTCAGACTGTAGCAGCACTGAGCAACACCCAATGAAATTGCAAAAGGAAAGACTGGGAGAGGAGAGCAAGTTGTTGGGGGAGGGCGCAGGGTGTGCGCTAATTGTTATAATTCTGTTTTCTGCCAATCAGCTTGTTGATGGTTTGCCAAATCTTCTTCCCATTTCCTCTTGCATCTTCAATAGTATCAATGAAGAAGTTGGCTTTAGCTTGTCTTAGCCTTTTTATTACTTTATTTCTTAAGGAGGTACATTTTTGTCGGTCTATTGTAAGACCTGTTTTTAAAGATTGTTTCAATAATTGATCTCTTTCCTTCATAAGTTTCCTACACTCTTCATTTAGCCAGGGCAATATATCCCTGCTTTTCTTTTGACTCCGCTTTCTGAGGTAGGGCCCCATAACTTTCTTAATTGTTGATGTAAATTGGTCACAGTCACTCTCCAGATCACCTTTAGAGAGGACCCCATTCCAATCAATCTCTCTTAGTGCCACCCCAAGGTTTTCCTGTTGACTAATTGGAACTGATTCATATTTACATATTGGTGTGACTGAGGAATGAAAACGATGTCTTTTTAACTTCCTGGAAAAAAGAATGATATTGTGATCTGACAGCCCTGTCACTAAATTATAAGTCTTAGTAATTCTTTCCGGTGTATTTGTAAATAATAAATCTATTTTAGTTTCAGACCGATTAGTTATTCTTGTAGGTTGTTCAATTAACTGTGTAAGATTAAAAAAATCTGTAATATTTTTAAGCTTTTTTCTTCCACCTTTATCACTCCAATTTATATTAAAGTCCCCCATCAATATAACCTCTTTGTTAAAATCCAAACTATAAAGGAGGTTTTTTAATTGATCATAGAACTCAAGCTTTGCTGAGGGGTTTCGATATAGACAAATTAAACTAAATGTCATTTCAACTGAAAGTGAAATGTTGACACCAACACACTCAATATCAGTTTCCCTATGCCATTCAATTTGTTTGCATTTAATAGTACTTAATTTATTATTAAGGCATTCTTTTCCCCACAGGTCATGGTCAATGCGAGTGCAAAAAGTGTATCTGTGACGCCAACTACAAAGGAAGTGCTTGCGAATGCCCTTTGGACACCTCCACCTGTCTGGCCAGTAACAGACTGATCTGTAACGGTCGGGGCACCTGCTAATGCAGTGAGTGTAAATGTACCGACCAAAGATTTGAGGGTCCAACCAGTGAAATCTGCCCAACCTGCCTAAGAATTTGCACAAAACACTAGTGAGTTATTGGCGGAGCATTTGCTAATGAGGTTAGGCTAACATAGATAACCCAGTAGATTGAATTACTGGCTTGTAGTCAGTTTTGTATCTGAATAACTTGTGTCGTGCTCTAAAACAGTGTGTCGCACTAAATACATTCTTCTGTGTTGAGTGCCAACAATTTGGCACAGGTAGCAAGAAACATACATGTGAGATCGACTGCAGATCCTTCAGTCTAACAGCAGTGAAGACTAAGGAGGAACTTCCTCAGCCCAATGACCAGCCCTACATCGATCTCTGCAAAGAGCGCAACGTTGATGACTGTTGGTTCTTCTTCACCTACGCTACCAAGAACGATGACAACATTGATGTCCTTGTGGCTGAAAAAAAAGGTAAAAATTATGGACAAATGTTACCAAGTACAATTCTTTTTACAAATATTAAATACAAATATGAGTACTGGACTCTTAACTTTTAAAGTAAACCTGATTGATTTTACTATTTGAATGCACCTGTCACTTCCATGAAATTGCAGCAATTAGCAAACGAAAAATGATCCAATCAATTCCCAATGGATAAAATAAGTCCCACCCTACATTTTTTCTTGTTTGAGACTCGGATATATGTACATCACAATAGTGGAAAAAGACGACTGCAACTTCTGTTTCTTGCAGACTCTTATTTCATAGCTATTGATAACTAGTTTACAAGTTTTACCTTGTTTCCCATAATGCTTTGAGCCTGTGTTCACAGAGTGTCCCTCTGGCCCTGACATCATCCCCATCGTAGCGGGTGTGGTCGCAGGAATCGTTCTGATTGGTTTAGCACTTCTGCTCATCTGGAAGCTGCTCATGATTATTCATGACCTCAGAGAGTTCGCCAAGTTCGAGAAAGAGAAGATGAATGCCAGATGGGACACAGTATGCACCTCTATTAATATTTCTTTTTTAATATTGCAAATAAATACATTTTAAGGGGTTCATACTGAACATGCTATGAGAAAAATTCTGGGATAATACCTACTGTTCTGTTTAGGGTGACAACCCCATCTACAAGAGTGCTGTGACAACTGTGGTGAACCCCAAATATGAGGGAAATTGATGGATCTTCAGGATGGCTTGCAGCAGTGGTTCTCAGATGGTCTTTGCTTCATCGCCCAGATTTTACATTGGTGACCTAATATAGTATCATAAACTGTATTTAAAGTAATCTGGAACCGATTTTGAATTTGGACCAAAATACCCACTCATACCCACTTGTCAACAACAGTTTTATCCTCCCTTTTAAATTTTGGGTCCCAACCTCCCAGTTGAGAACTGATTTGTAAGCTAGTTTCCTATTGCTTGATTATATTTCTCTATTTTGTAATGTTTATATGTAAATATTAAACTCCTCATTTCCCGTGAGATTATGGTTTTCCAGAGCACAAGAAGTCACAACAAGATTCACCAATGATTATTATTTTTGAAAACGTTCTATAAAGCCAATAAAACAGTGTCGGGTATATTAAATACAGTATTGATAGTCTCATTGTGTGGGTGACATTTTTTCAGTGGTGGGCCGTCAGAGCCAGCAAGCCTTCTCTGCTGGCCTAAACACTATCAGAATCACTGATTTAGTTTAATATTTTTTCCATGAATGTGCATTAAATTATTTCCAATAGTCTATTCTCTTTAGTTCATAGCTTTTCTCTTGGAAAAACAGTAGTCCTAATGACTGCGAAAAACAACCACACACCTCCTCGGCACCGGCTCAGTGAAAGACTCGTGAAGATGAAAAACCACTCGAGTATGGTAGGTTAATTATTATCGCTTGATGCGTTGTATGCTGATGTTATTTGCGCGATATAAAGCCAGGTTTAAGTTTCGTGAAGACGAAATAAAGCAGTAAGAGAACATTAAATTGTTAGGTCAACTTTAAAACACATGTAATCACCTTATTTGTTTTATACCAATGCTATCTGTAAGGTATAAATGCGTTTGGGTGAATAAATGTCTCTAAGAACATCGGATGGACTGTATTTGTGATACACCCAAAATCTACATATTGGCACCTAAAATCTATTGTGCTTGTTTTCCCTGCTACCACAGTAGTATTTAGTTGTATTCAATACCGAAAACGGTTAAAAAAAGAAAAAGGGAACAAGACAATAGAAGGGGTTAAGTGTATTTTTGCAGCAATTAGTTCTGCCACAGCATCTCTTCATGCTGCTACTTAGATCATATGCCTGAAGCCTCCCACAGGTGATTGGTGCCACTCACTGACCAATCAGGCGGCGTCTCGCTGCCATTGCAAAGTTATTAACCCTGTGGCAGTCTCGGACTGTCCCCGGGGTCTGCTTACAGCCTTAATCTGACGCAAATAACTCCTTCATTTCCCAGCCGGATCTTTTAACGGGGGTTGCGTTGTCTTCATTTAACCGAGGAGATTCTCAGCTGTGTGCATTTGCACTTATGTCATAATTTGGCTGTTGTCCTAGAGATATGGCAGCACCTTCACCCTTGAGGTCAAGAGTATGGTCATGGTCAATGCTCATGTTTATGTCAATATGTGTGACAGGCATGGACGATGACGGACTGATTGTTACCCCTCTGGAGGGTCAGACGGGTACAGAGGTGTGGGTCTTCTGGAAGCGGAGGTAAACCCACACTTGCACTAGATCATATCTTGGGTGCTTTATCTTAGACATTGCATATCAGAACATACACGCATAAACACATGCGATTACATCATATGTTGTTAATGCATGTTTTTTTCTTTTTTTTTATAGTTGCACACTTATATCTGGATGTTTTTTTTGTGCTTTATGTATTGTGGTCTTATGATGTAAGGTGGTTATGATGTAAGTGTATGTATGAAGGAGAAAGTATATATGACTGCTTTAGCAGACAGAAGGGGAATGGTGAATGTTTTTGCAGTGAAATGTGATCTTATGGGCATCTCATTACTGCCATGAGGCACTTGTCTCTTTGCGTCTAGTGGGAATAGTGTTTGAGATTGCTGCAACATCAATAAGATAAAGCTGGGGAGAAATCTCCTTTTAAAGGGAACATTTTGGGCTTTGTCATCTTTGACCAAGCTTGATTGAAGCTGCAATGCTTCCCTGATGTTCCTGTGAAAACTGCATGTGTGAAGACATACAAAGGAACAAAATGTTGTGCCTCACAGGGCCATAGTGTTACAAATATAAACATACATATGCCTAACCTACTGATAGAAGTAATTTACCATTTATGCAGCTGTCAAATCATTGTATAAGTAGGACTTTAATAAAGGAATGTTGCTAGTTAAGTTAAGGTTACTCTGAAGTGACTCGTGTAATGAATCTCACTTCAGAAGGATGATCAAATAACTTTATAGCTTGGATATCAAATATGATTTTACTTTACAGTAAAATAGCCTCAGATGCTGAGATGGCATTAAATAAAATACTACTACTACTACTAAGGGTGCTTTCACACTTGGTTCGATTGCTTGGTCCGAACCAGAGTTTGATTGCTCCCCCCTCCCCCGACTGGACTGTGTTCACATTATATTATTTGGGTCCAAACCGCGGTTCGTTCACATCAAGCCAGCAGCTATTTACCCCTTTGCTTAGTAACGACGGCGCCAGAGATTTGCTCTCTTCAATTTTATATTTATGGTTTTGAACCGTTGGTTTTGTTTCCAAATTAGCTTCAGTACATAACGCCACTTACGTCTGTCTTACGAATGTACTACAAATGTTCTAAAGAATTCTGATGGCGAACAGAAATTATGCAGCTCTCTGCTTCAGTCACGCTCGTCAGGAAAGTGAGTGAAACGCACAAACACATTTTTATCAAATAATACGTCATTAATAGCGGTTCACTTTTGTGATTTGGTACGATTGCTTTCACATCAGCAGCAAACCGTACCGGAGATCACTTGAACCGTGCTCCAGACCACCCCTTTTAAGCGGACTCTGGTACGGTTCACGGGTGCGCACCCAAGTTCGGAAGACCGCATTCACATCATCCAAACGAACCGAACTCTGACATCAGTCGAACCCGGGTACGCAACAAATGTGCTAGTGTGAAAGCACCCCAACTTTTACAGGTTTTTTTTCTTTTACTGGGTGATGAATAATTTTTTTTAAAGCAGTCCTTCAAGCATTTTGATGAACTTGATAAGTAGTTATAATATTTAATTTCGAAGTTGCATGGTTAATATTCAAATGTTACATTGATTTGATACTCTATATAATTTATCTTTTTTTTAATTATTTTTCTTTTGACCGGAAAAGCATTTGTTTCATTGTGGTTTATTATTATTATTATTGTTATTTTACAGCTAATTTAGAAAGGTTTTGTGACACATGTGAAATGAAACCAACTTCTGTAAGGAAGGGAAGTCTATAATTAATTGTTTTTATTTGTTGGGGTTTTTTTAAAGTGAAAATTTATTTTTCAAATACTTATTTTTCAATCATGGAACAGGCAGCAGTAATTGAATGAATGAATGATGCATTTATATAGCGCTTTATTGTGTATTGTTGTACACCCAAAGCGCTTTACAATCATGTGGGGGGGTCACTCCTCAACCACCACCAGTGTGCAGCATCCACTTGGATGATGTGATGGCAGCCACAGGACAACAGCGCCAGATTTGTGATTTTAAAGTACTCTTTATTTTCAGAAAATGACAAACGCATCACGTTTTTTAATTCTTTATAATTGAATGAATGAATGATGCATTTATATAGCGCTTTATTGTGTATTGTTGTACACCCAAAGCGCTTTACAATCATGTGGGGGGGTCACTCCTCAACCACCACCAGTGTGCAGCATCCACTTGGATGATGTGATGGCAGCCACAGGACAACAGCGCCAGTGCGCTCACCACACACCAGCTACAGGTGGAGAGGAGAGAGACTCATAGAGCCAATCAAGTGGATGGGGATTATTAGGAGGCCATGATTGACAAGGGCCAGTGGAGGGAATTTGGCCAGGACACCGGGGTTACACCCCTACTCTTTACGAGAAGTGCCATGGGATTTTTAATGACCACAGAGAGTCAGGACCTCGGTTTAATGTCTCATCCGAAAGACGGAAATTGAAGGCAATGAAATGCAGCCCTTCTGTCATTAGGTCATCTGTTTTTGCCTTGTGCTGTCATTGACTACAAGATGGATTTAGTAGAAAAGCAGTTCACCGACAGCCAAATACTAATCGGTTAAGAACGATTGTCTTTGTATAGACTTTATTACTCTGTCGTCATTTTTCCCATATCGGTTAAATTGTGTATCTTAAGCACACCGGCGAAAAAGACTTGTTTTTTGAAGAGGCGCGCTCTGCAGAAGGTATGGGGAGTGGTTTTCACTCCCTCCCCGCGTGTCTTCGAGCTCCAGAAGCGCATGCGTTGTAAGCCCATGTGGGAATGGCTGATCTGGGATCGGGGGGTTGGGCCGCTAAACACGAGCGGACCGTTAAAGAGTGTTTTTAATGTCCGCCATGTTGGCCATGGCGCACTGAGCCTGGAATCAGGGACCGGAGCGCGCTGGAAACACACACCGAGAGAGAGCGACCGACACCCGGCCTCGCGCCTCCGCTCGCCCCGCCACCTCCACCGAGCGACCCGTGCACTGCTGGACACCGAACCGGCATCATCCATGAGAACTTTAATCGGACCAGTAGGGAACATTAGGGGATCGGATAGATTTATGCTGCATCTCGAATTATAAAGAAAAATGAGTAAACTGTCGTTTCGGGCGCGGGCGCTGGACGCTTCCAAGCCTCTACCCGTCTTCCGCTGCGAGGACCTGCCCGACCTGCACGAATATGCGTCTATTAACCGGGCAGTGCCACAGATGCCCACGGGGATGGAGAAAGAGGAGGAATCGGTACGTTTTATTGCTTAGAGTCATGTATTTTGAACACAATTTCAGTTGTATTGTCAGAGGCGCGTCCCTTGCTTCTCTGCGCCAGTGTACACAAAATGGCCGCCATTTTTCCTGCAGAAAAGCGTCAAATATGTCGCTACCGTCCGAGACGGCCGAGGTTTAGTATATTGGGCCCAAACGTTAGAGGTTTTTCTCTACAAATATAACCTCGGAGGTAATTACTACGCAGTATTTATGTCTGTAGACGGTTTACGGAGTACAAAGGAGTCACGTGACCACGGGCAAAGCGACCATTTTGTTGATTATCTTGGGGCTCCGTTTAATTGCAGTACCGCGCACTGACCTGAGGGGGCGCCAATCTGCGCCTTGCATACACCACAATCACCAATTAACACCCAGCAAAACAATCTGTGCAGTATTCTCTCATATTTGAACGTTGCAAAATCTCAATGTTTTATTTTCTGAAGAGACATATGGTTCAGTGAGAATAGTTGTCATGTCAATTGAAGCATTAGTGTTTTTTTTAATCGGATGTGTTTTGCATTAAGTGCATTGTGAAAGGCATTATTAGCGAATGCATCTCTGAATTGACAGGAAGCCTATCTGGCTCTACCGGTCTGTTTAGGTGTACGCAATGATCCGTTTGACCGGTGCAGGGGCGCACGAGGCCTTGTTTTGTTTTCTCAACACGGGCAACTGGAGCTCTTGACAGCTGCATTTTATCTGTACATCCGCATCATGCAAGCAAACGTTATGCACATCTCTCATGTAATACAGTCTTCTATTTTTTTTTTAGCAACTACTGTGGAAATATAGATGAGATCCATTAAAATGTAATTATTTCCCCCTTTAAATTTTTCTGTGTATTTTTGTATTTGTTTCTCAGTTGTGATTTTAATGCATAAAAATAAATCAGTGTTTTAAACTAAATTGTGCTTGTTTTACATATCTGTTATTTTAAAGCATTTCTATAATGTGTCTGAATGAGAATGTTTGACATTTTCTGCGCAGCTTTGATAATATGTGCAGGGGTAAATATGTATGCAGTAAACATGTCTGTCTAAAAGCGATGGTGTGAAAATACTGGCTAACCTCAGCACTCTGGGGCAGGTGGCAAGAGTAATGCTCTCTCTGGTGTTTGTGTGAGACAGTGGAGTGAAGATGCTGCTGTCCCACTCAAAGTGTTTTATCATATGCTAATAATGAGGTCTCTGGGGGTCAGGGCTGTCAAATGATGCTCTGGTGTCTTTTGTACTTCAGGGACCAACATTAGTGCTTGATCTATGTGGATTTTTAATGATTGATGATATTAGGTCTGCGATGAGGCTTTCATTAGTGTACATCATTTTATATCAGTATAACAATATTGTTTTTTTTCTTGAAAATTATGTGCATATGTACATAGATTACCCAATTTTTACATACCGTAAAATAGAGGTCAGTGTCTGCCGTCTGGGATTGTTTTTTGAGCACGTGTAATTGTTTGTGCTGGCGTGCCAGTGTTTTGGTATGGCTTGCATCTGACAGATCCGGCTCTGCTGTTTTCAGGGGTTTGCTTGGTGGGGGCTAGGCTTCGGTCGCAATAGTCAATTAGTACAATCTGTATGCGTTTTTAGAAGTGGTAGCTTATTTATTGTGCTGACAATGTACTGTGCTGTTTGACAGTTTGCATATTAAAGCGTCTTCCCCATTTAGACTACTACTACTCACCTGGCCGCTGCATTGTTTTGCACGTGCACTGTTGCATTCTTATTTTGAATTTATCAGAAATTAGATGTTTTTACTACTATATGCTTTTTAGGGCTATATCGTATCACTGTATTTGATTGTGCATGTATATAGCATTTCTTTCTCATGTTAATACATCAACACTTGTTTCAGCATTTTGCGTTTGTGCATTATTTGGTAATTATAAAAATAACAATTATGCACAAGGCAGTCTAAATAAGCTCAAAATTGATACAATGATGGTAATTATCCAACAAAAATAAAATAATGCATGATGAACGTATATAATATTTAGAATCAACATATTTTTTTTATTAGAATGTGCATTTAAATTTCGCATAATGTAATGATAATGTTTCAAATCATGATGTATTGTGAATTAAATGTTAATACCTGGCTCTAATGCGGTTTCATTTTGGTGTATTGTTCGCAAGGGCAACACAATAGAAATTTGTTTTCAGTTAAGTTTTTTTGTGGCCATTAAGATTTTGTATGATGTTTTTTATTTATTTATTGACAATCCAAATAATATCTTTAGAGTCTGTGTAAATGATAGATGCATAGATATTTTTCTGTTTTCAGACGACAGGATGAATACAAACTAGTGACTATGGCTGATCTGGGATCGGGGGGTTGGGCCGCTAAACACGAGCGGACCGTTAAAGAGTGTTTTTAATGTCCGCCATGTTGGCCATGGCGCACTGAGCCTGGAATCAGGGACCGGAGCGCGCTGGAAACACACACCGAGAGAGAGCGACCGACACCCGGCCTCGCGCCTCCGCTCGCCCCGCCACCTCCACCGAGCGACCCGTGCACTGCTGGACACCGAACCGGCATCATCCATGAGAACTTTAATCGGACCAGTAGGGAACATTAGGGGATCGGATAGATTTATGCTGCATCTCGAATTATAAAGAAAAATGAGTAAACTGTCGTTTCGGGCGCGGGCGCTGGACGCTTCCAAGCCTCTACCCGTCTTCCGCTGCGAGGACCTGCCCGACCTGCACGAATATGCGTCTATTAACCGGGCAGTGCCACAGATGCCCACGGGGATGGAGAAAGAGGAGGAATCGGTACGTTTTATTGCTTAGAGTCATGTATTTTGAACACAATTTCAGTTGTATTGTCAGAGGCGCGTCCCTTGCTTCTCTGCGTCAGTGTATACAAAATGGCCGCCATTTTTCCTGCAGAAAAGCGTCAAATATGTCGCTACCGTCCGAGACGGCCGAGGTTTAGTATATTGGGCCCAAACGTTAGAGGTTTTTCTCTACAAATATAACCTCGGAGGTAATTACTACGCAGTATTTATGTCTGTAGACGGTTTACGGAGTACAAAGGAGTCACGTGACCACGGGCAAAGCGACCATTTTGTTGATTATCTTGGGGCTCCGTTTAATTGCAGTACCGCGCACTGACCTGAGGGGGCGCCAATCTGCGCCCTTACATACACAACAATCACCAATTAACACCCAGCAAAACAATCTGTGCAGTATTCTCTCATATTTGAACGTTGCAAAATCTCAATGTTTTATTTTCTGAAGAGACATATGGTTCAGTGAGAATAGTTGTCATGTCAATTGAAGCATTAGTGTTTACTACTATATGCTTTTTAGGGCTATATCGTATCACTGTATTTGATTGTGCATGTATATAGCATTTCTTTCTCATGTTAATACATCAACACTTGTTTCAGCATTTTGCGTTTGTGCATTATTTGGTAATTATAAAAATAACAATTATGCACAAGGCAGTCTAAATAAGCTCAAAATTGATACAATGATGGTAATTATCCAACAAAAATAAAATAATGCATGATGAACGTATATAATATTTAGAATCAACATATTTTTTTTATTAGAATGTGCATTTAAATTTCGCATAATGTAATGATAATGTTTCAAATCATGATGTATTGTGAATTAAATGTTAATACCTGGCTCTAATGCGGTTTCATTTTGGTGTATTGTTCGCAAGGGCAACACAATAGAAATTTGTTTTCAGTTAAGTTTTTTTTGTGGCCATTAAGATTTTGTATGATGTTTTTTATTTATTTATTGACAATCCAAATAATATCTTTAGAGTCTGTGTAAATGATAGATGCATAGATATTTTTCTGTTTTCAGACGACAGGATGAATACAAACTAGTGACTTGATTTGGTACTAGTCTCTAAATGGGTCTGAAAAGTCTCTAAATCTAGCAACAAAGTGGCTAAATTGGCAACACCGGATAATGTTAGCTTTCAGTCACAATACTTGTGACCATCCAGCCAAACCCCACACAAACTTTCACTTGCAATTTAACTAAATCGTATATGTGTGTGTGTATATAGGAGCACCATCTCCAGCGGGCCATCTCTGCTCAGCAGGTGTACGGGGAGAAGAGGGACAACATGGTGATTCCCGTCCCAGAGGCCGAGAGCAACATCGCCTACTATGAGTCCCTCTACCCGGGGGACTTCAGGATGCCCAAACAGCTCATTCACATACAGCGTGAGTCATTCTGCCTTTATCCAGACCATATATTTATTTTAGTCATTTAGCAGACGCTTTTATCCAAAGCGACTTACAAATGAGGACAACCGGAGCCATCAATTCTAGTAGTAAAACAACTAAAAACACATCCAAAGCTAAAACTTTATAAATACTACTTATACACATTTTAAAAATAAATACATAAAATAAAAATGACAAATGCATAGAACAAAATTTCAAAACTTAACATTTAAATGAAAAACAAAAAATAAAGCTAAAACAATTCAAAATATTAAAGAACAAAAGGTATAAGACTAAGAGTATAATAATGATTCTAACATAACACTAAGCCAAACACCAAAAAAAAAAAACTACATTTGTGTATG